TACTCCACTTGTTACTGTTCGCCAGTCCGACTTTTCGCCCCTTACCATTACCCTCTGGCTCCTTCCTGTTAGGTAGTTCTTCACCCATACTAGGGCCTTTCCGCTTACTCCTGCCTGCCTCTCAAGTTTGTATAGCAGTCTCATGTGCGGTACCGTATCAAAGGCCTTTTGGCAGTCAAGAAATATGCAGTCTGCCCAGCCTTCTCTGTCCTGCCTTATCCTTGTTACTTTATCATAGAATTCTAAAAGGTTTGTTAGGCATGATTTCCCTGTCCAGAACCCATGTTGGTGCTTGTTTACAAACCCAATGCTCTCCAGGTGCTCAACAAGTCTTAGCCTAATTATTCTTTCAAGTATTTTGCAGGGGATGCTTGTCAGTGATACGGGTCTGTAGTTAAGTGCCTCCTCCCTATCCCCCTTTTTGAAAATCGGTACGACATTTGCCTCCTTCCAGCAACTGGGCAATTCTCCCGACATAAGTGACTCATTGAAGATCATTGCCAGAGGCACGCTGAGAGCCTGCGCTGCCTCTTTAAGTATCCACGGTGATACTTTGTCTGGTCCAACAGCTTTATTTGCATCCAGTGTTGTCAACTGTTTCATTACATCCTCTGCTGTCACCTCTATATCTGATAGTCTTTCATCTTGGGTAATCTCTTCTAACAATGGGAGCTGCTCAGGCTCGGTAGTGAACACTCCATGGAATTTTGCATTCAGTACCTCGCAGATTTCCTTGTCGCTTTCTGTATATGCCCCTTCTGTTTTCCTCAGTCTTGTCACTTGGTCATTTACCGACATCTTCCTTCTTATATGGCTATGTAGTAATTTTGGTTGCTTTTTCGCTTTGACTGCAATATCGTTCTCATAATTTCTTTCCGACACTCGTCTTATGTTAATGTAATCATTCCTAGCTCTGTTACATCTAATCCTGTTGTCCTCTGTCCTTTGTCTTCTGTACTTCCTCCACTCCCTCCTGCTTCTCACCTTTGCTTCCTGACACTGTCTATTAAACCATGGGTTATTATATTCCCTCCTGCTTTTTTCCTTTATTGTTGGAATAAATCTATCTTCAGCCTCCTTGCATTTCAATATGACTTGGTTCATCATACCTTGCACTGTTTTTCCTCTAAGTTCTTCCTCCCACTGCACTTCTCCCAGGTAGTCCCTTATCCTTCTGTAGTCCCCTTTTCTGTAATCAAGTCTCCTTTCCCGGACCTCTTGTCCTTTCGTCACAATTTTAAGCTCCATCATGTAGTCAAAGGCTAGGACACAATGGTCACTAGCTCCTAGTGGTATTTCATGTTCCAACTGCTCGATGTCTTCTACATTCTGAGTGATAATGAGATCTAATAGGCTGGGCGTATCCCCTCCTCTTTCCCTAGTATCTTCTTTCACATGCTGTGTTAGGAAATTCCTGTCAATAACGTCTACCAGCTTCGCTCCCCAGGTCTCCTCCCCGCCATGGGGATTCCTCGTTTCCCAATCTATCTCTCCGTGATTTAGGTCCCCCATGACCAGCAGCTTCGCTCTCATTCTATGCGCTAAAGTTGCTGCCCTCTGCAGTTCATCCATACATGTCTTGTTGCTGTCCTCGTACTCCTGCCTGGGCCTTCTACTGTTTGGTGGGGGATTGTAGAGTATCAAGATTACAATCTTCTTCCCATCCACTGTCAGAGTTCCATGTATGAAGCTTGTGCTTTCATTGGTACCCGGATTTTCCAGCTCATCAAACTTCCATTTCCGCTTTATTAGTAGTGCCACTCCTCCTCCCTGTCTCTGTGTCCTTTCTTTTCTTATCACCTGGTACCCCTCTGGAAAGATTGCATCCGAGATCATGCCATTTATTTTAGTTTCCACTATTGCCACTATGTCTGGGTCTGCCTCACTAACTCTTTCTTTTATCTCTTCTGCTTTATTGGCTACCCCATCAGCATTGGTGTACCAAACCTTGAGACTCTTCTTGGAAACTCGGGTGTCAGAGTTCCCCCTTTCACCAGGGGTCTGGGGGGAACTGGGGGGTGTCTGGGGGGCAAGTGGGGGCTGTGGGGGTGAGTGGGGGGGTGCTAGGGGGGTGCCTGGGAGTGCCTGGTAGGCGAATGGGGTCTGGGCATCTAGGGGGGTAGGAAGGGCATAATGGGTCTGAAAGTTAGGGGTCTGAATAGCATAGGGGGGTTGAGAAATAGAGTGAGACTGAGAGTCAGATAGAGGTTGAGAGGTTGGGGGGAAGAGGGATACTGAGGGCGGAGAGCTGAGATGAGAATGGAGCATGGGTGCTGGGAGTGGAAGAGAGGGTATATTAGTTAGGGGGGAATCGGGGGTAGGTGGGGGTTTTGGGGTAGAAGAGGGGAAGAGGGAGATGGGGGAAGGTGTTAGGGGGTCACAAGGTGAGGGGGTTAAATGTGGGCTGGAGGTGCATAGGAGGGGTGAGGGTTGGGTGGGGTTTGGGGGTGAGTGGAAGAGGGGTGCAGTGGAAGCTGGGATGGAGTAGATGGAATTGAAGTCAGTGGGGTAGAAGGGGCAGGGGAGTGGGAAGGGGTATTTGGGGAGGGGGGATGGGAAGGTGGGTTTGGGGAGGGCATGGCTTGACCCACTGGGGTCGCTGACAAGTGTGATGTAGCAGGGGCAGGGGAATCGTTGTGGAGGTGCAAATGTGGAAGGGACAGGGGGGGTTTTGGGAGGCTGAGGCAGGGGGGATGTATAGGAGGGCTGAGTTGGGGAGGATGCGACCTGGGAGGTGACCTGGGAGGTGACCTGGGAGGTGACCTGGGATGTGACCTGGGAGGTGAGACTACCTGAGAGGCTAGTACGTTGTCGTTGTTGCCATCTATTTTTGTGGGCTGTTTGCTCATCTTTCGTCATAAACCTCTCTATAAACACATTGTAATGGGTTTCACTTCCTCTGAGTAAATGCTTGCTCCTCATTATGTACTCCACTGCCTCCTCATTGGAGAATTGCACCAGAACAGGTCTATTCTTGGTACAATTGTAAGGTCCAACCCGTCGATTGATATCCACCTCGCGTTCTGCCATCTCTGCTCCAATACACCTCAATATCTCGTGCAATTCGTATTTTTCTGTTTCTATTCTCTCTTGTCTTGTTGGTGCCCTAGATTCGAATAATCCATGTATTATAATAGACCGTCTCCTCAGTAATTCATTGTCATGCTGGTAGCCTGTCCCCTGGGGATTCCCCATCCCAACCGCAGTCACTAACCCATCTCCCACTAATCCTCTATCCTTAGCCATGCTGCTAAACCTTCCTAATTCGTTTGTGATACGAGCACATTCCCTCTCCCAGTCCTCTCTTCCCTTCCTAATCTCTTCCTGAACATAGAGCATAAGTTCTTGTTTCTGCCTCTCTACCGCATCCATCATATATTTCATTTTGCTGAAATACCTCACTTTTAATCCCCTGGATTAGATCCTCCAACCAATCACTCCTTCTCTCTACAAATTTCCCTATTAATTTGTCTATAAATCTGTCCTCCTCCTCATCCCTGCTGGTGATTGACCTTGAACCCCTTCTAGTCATTGCAGTAACAATCTAGCCAAAAAGGCGCTCCTCAATACCTTGCACAATCTGCTAACACAATAGGTGAGTGAATCTCCAATCGTCGTCCCACGTGGTGGTATAAGGGTTGCTGCCGAGGTGAGGTCACGCGGTCAGAGGTCGGTGAGGTCTGGTTTCACACTGCACAGTATTTCCTCAACTATTTTGAATTACGCTAATTAAACTGTTTTTCTTCACTACCTTATGGCTCTGGTCAAAACCCAAGGTTTTTTCATTCACTTGTACATTCACTTATAGTCTTTTTCACTTCGAAGTTGCCTGATTACCCCTCCCACTCCACTAGTGAACCAGGAGCTCCCAACCCACGTCCACCCAACACGATGGTCACAAGACAAGTGTGTGTGTGTGTGTGTGTGTGTGTGTGTGTGTGTGTGTGTGTGTGTGTGTGTGTGTGTGTGTGTGTGTGTGTGTGTGTGCTCACCTAGTTGTACTCACCTAGTTGTACTCACCTAGTTGTGTTTGCGGGGGTTGAGCTCTGGCTCTTTGGTCCCGCCTCTCAACTGTCAATCAACAGGTGTACAGATTCATGAGCCTATTGGGCTCTATCATATCTACACTTGAAACTGTGTATGGAGTCAGCCTCCACCACATCACTTCCTAATGCATTCCATTTGTCAACCACTCTGACACTAAAAAAGTTCTTTCTAATATCTCTGTGGCTCATTTGGGCACCCAGTTTCCACCTGTGTCCCCTTGTGCGTGTGCCCCTTGTGTTAAATACCCTGTCTTTATCTACCCTATCAATTCCCTTCAGAATCTTGAATGTGGTGATCATGTCCCCCCTAACTCTTCTGTCTTCCAGCGAAGTGATGTTTAATTCCCGTAGTCTCTCCTCGTAGCTCATACCTCTCAGCTCGGGTACTAGTCTGGTGGCAAACCTTTGAACCTTTTCCAGTTTAGTCTTATCCTTGACTAGATATGGACTCCATGCTGGGGCTGCATATTCCAGGATAGGCCTGTGTGTGTGTGTGTGTGTGTGTGTGTGTGTGTGTGTGTGTGTGTGTGTGTGTGTGTGTGTGTGTGTGTGTGTGTGTGTGTGTGTGTGTGTGTGTGTGTGTGTGTGTGTGTGTGTGTGTGTGTGTGTGTGTGTGTGTGTGTGTGTGTGTGTGTGTGTGTGTGTGTAATTGTGTATGTAACGCTTTTTTCATGTGTTTAAAAAAAAAATATTTCGACAGAGATAAAAACACATTTAAGTAAACTCAGTTGACTGGATTTCAACATCTCGTCTGATTAAAGAATCCATCAAACCGCCTGATTACAAGTGATAAGATTAAAGATAAAACTAGTCCACAGTCAAACAATTCTAACCAACACTGTCCATACGGCTGATCTTACCATAGGCATCTCCTCAAGAACAGTCACTAAAGAGGAGTGTAAGTAATGCCCCCGAGCACCCGAGAAGGTAATACTTTGATAAATTCCAGTTAGTCTTGGACTTCAGTGTTGTTGTGAGGTGTGGACTAACTAGTGTCCTTGCTGGTGGAGGTTTAGGGTGTGTCAGTGTAACTAGTATCCTTGCTGGTGGAAGTTTAGGGTGTGTCAGTGTAACTAGTGTTCCTGCTGGTGGAGGTTTAGGGTGTGTCAGTGTAGGAGACGAGAGAATGGACGTCGTGGCAGCCATACTGTTGCTCACAGGTAAGGTTCTGTGCTTCAGTACACTCCGTATAATGAACATTGTAATGTGTATATTTTTATGTGTGGTCAGCTGTGCTTCCCATCCCCGCACTCTCTCATAACACTGTAAGGATGTGAGGCATGTGTTGCACTCCTGTTGGTAGCTAGTGTCGAGTGAAACATGTAAGAGGGAAGTGTTGAGTGAAACATGTAAGGTAGTGTTGAGTGAAACATGTAAGTGGGTAGTGTTGAGTGAAACTTGTAAGTGGGTAGTGTTGAGTGAAACATGTAAGAGGGTAGTGTTGAGTGAAACATGTAAGGTAGTGTTGAGTGAAACATGTAAGAGGGTAGTGTTGAGTGAAACATGTAAGAGGGAAGTGTTGAGTGAAACATGTAAGAGGGTAGTGTTGAGTGAAACATGTAAGGTAGTGTTGAGTGAAACATGTAAGAGGGTAGTGTTGAGTGAAACATGTAAGAGGGAAGTGTTGAGTGAAACATGTAAGAGGGTAGTGTTGAGTGAAACATGTAAGGTAGTGTTGAGTGAAACATGTAAGTGGGTAGTGTTGAGTGAAACATGTAAGAGGGTAGTGTTGAGTGAAACATGTAAGAGGGAAGTGTTGAGTGAAACATGTAAGAGGGAAGTGTTGAGTGAAACATGTAAGAGGGTAGTGTTGAGTGAAACATGTAAGGTAGTGTTGAGTGAAACATGTAAGGTAGTGTTGAGTGAAACATGTAAGTGGGTAGTGTTGAGTGAAACTTGTAAGTGGGTAGTGTTGAGTGAAACATGTAAGAGGGTAGTGTTGAGTGAAACATGTAAGGTAGTGTTGAGTGAAACATGTAAGAGGGTAGTGTTGAGTGAAACATGTAAGAGGGAAGTGTTGAGTGAAACATGTAAGAGGGTAGTGTTGAGTGAAACATGTAAGGTAGTGTTGAGTGAAACATGTAAGAGGGTAGTGTTGAGTGAAACATGTAAGAGGGAAGTGTTGAGTGAAACATGTAAGAGGGTAGTGTTGAGTGAAACATGTAAGGTAGTGTTGAGTGAAACATGTAAGTGGGTAGTGTTGAGTGAAACATGTAAGAGGGTAGTGTTGAGTGAAACATGTAAGAGGGAAGTGTTGAGTGAAACATGTAAGAGGGAAGTGTTGAGTGAAACATGTAAGAGGGTAGTGTTGAGTGAAACATGTAAGGTAGTGTTGAGTGAAACATGTAAGGTAGTGTTGAGTGAAACATGTAAGAGGGTAGTGTTGAGTGAAACATGTAAGAGGGAAGTGTTGAGTGAAACATGTAAGAGGGTAGTGTTGAGTGAAACATGTAAGAGGGTAGTGTTGAGTGAAACATGTAAGTGGGTAGTGTTGAGTGAAACATGTAAGAGGGTAGTGTTGAGTGAAACATGTAAGAGGGAAGTGTTGAGTGAAACATGTAAGAGGGTAGTGTTGAGTGAAACATGTAAGGTAGTGTTGAGTGAAACATGTAAGTGGGTAGTGTTGAGTGAAACATGTAAGAGGGAAGTGTTGAGTGAAACATGTAAGAGGGTAGTGTTGAGTGAAACATGTAAGAGGGAAGTGTTGAGTGAAACATGTAAGAGGGTAGTGTTGAGTGAAACATGTAAGGTAGTGTTGAGTGAAACATGTAAGGTAGTGTTGAGTGAAACATGTAAGTGGGTAGTGTTGAGTGAAACATGTAAGGTAGTGTTGAGTGAAACATGTAAGGTAGTGTTGAGTGAAACATGTAAGGTAGTGTTGAGTGAAACATGTAAGGTAGTGTTGAGTGAAACATGTAAGGTAGTGTTGAGTGAAACATGTAAGAGGGTAGTGTTGAGTGAAACATGTAAGGTAGTGTTGAGTGAAACATGTAAGAGGGTAGTGTTGAGTGAAACATGTAAGGTAGTGTTGAGTGAAACATGTAAGAGGGTAGTGTTGAGTGAAACATGTAAGAGGGTAGTGTTGAGTGAAACATGTAAGTGGGTAGTGTTGAGTGAAACATGTAAGGTAGTGTTGAGTGAAACATGTAAGAGGGTAGTGTTGAGTGAAACATGTAAGTGGGAAGTGTTGAGTGAAACATGTCAGAGGGAAGTGTTGAGTGAAACATGTCAGAGGGAAGTGTTGAGTGAAACATGTAAGGGGGAAGTGTTAAGTGAAACATGTAAGAGGGAAGTGTTGAGTGAAACATGTAAGGGGGAAGTGTTAAGTGAAACATGTAAGAGGGAAGTGTTGAGTGAAACATGTAAGGGGGAAGTGTTAAGTGAAACATGTCAGAGGGAAGTGTTGAGTGAAACATGTAAGGGGGAAGTGTTAAGTGAAACATGTAAGGGGGAAGTGTTGAGTGAAACTTGTAAGAGGGAAGTGTTGAGTGAAACATGTAAGAGGGAAGTGTTGAGTGAAACATGTAAGGGGGAAGTGTTGAGTGAAACATGTAAGGGGGAAGTGTTGAGTGAAACATGTAAGGGGGAAGTGTTGAGTGAAACATGTAAGAGGGAAGTGTTGAGTGAAACATGTAAGAGGGAAGTGTTGAGTGAAACATGTAAGAGGGAAGTGTTGAGTGAAACATGTAAATGGATAGTGTTGAGTGAAACATGTAAGGGGGAAGTGTTGAGTGAAACATGTAAGTGGTAGTGTTGAGTGAAACATGTAAGGGGGAAGTGTTGAGTGAAACATGTAAGTGGTAGTGTTGAGTGAAACATGTAAATGGATAGTGTTGAGTGAAACATGTAAATGGATAGTGTTGAGTGAAACATGTAAGGGGGAAGTGTTGAGTGAAACATGTAAGTGGGAAGTGTTAAATGAAACATGTAAGTGGGAAGTGTTGAGTGAAACATGTAAGAGGGAAGTGTTGAGTGAAACATGTAAGAGGGAAGTGTTGAGTGAAACATGTAAATGGATAGTGTTGAGTGAAACATGTAAGGGGGAAGTGTTGAGTGAAACATGTAAGGGGGAAGTGTTGAGTGAAACATGTAAGTGGGAAGTGTTAAATGAAACATGTAAGTGGGAAGTGTTGAGTGAAACATGTAAGTGGGAAGTGTTAAATGAAACATGTAAGTGGGAAGTGTTAAATGAAACATGTAAGTGGGAAGTGTTAAATGAAACATGTAAGTGGGAAGTGTTAAATGAAACATGTAAGTGGGAAGTGTTAAATGAAACATGTAAGAGGGAAGTGTTGAGTGAAACATGTAAGAGGGAAGTGTTGAGTGAAACATGTAAATGGATAGTGTTGAGTGAAACATGTAAGGGGGAAGTGTTGAGTGAAACATGTAAGTGGTAGTGTTGAGTGAAACATGTAAATGGATAGTGTTGAGTGAAACATGTAAGGGGGAAGTGTTGAGTGAAACATGTAAGTGGGAAGTGTTGAGTGAAACATGTAAGGGGGAAGTGTTAAGTGAAACATGTAAGAGGGAAGTGTTGAGTGAAACATGTAAGAGGGAAGTGTTGAGTGAAACATGTAAGTGGGAAGTGTTGAGTGAAACATGTAAGGGGGAAGTGTTGAGTGAAACATGTAAGAGGGAAGTGTTGAGTGAAACATGTAAGAGGGTAGTGTTGAGTGAAACATGTAAGAGGGTAGTGTTGAGTGAAACATGTAAGGGGGAAGTGTTGAGTGAAACATGTAAGAGGGAAGTGTTGAGTGAAACATGTAAGAGGGAAGTGTTGAGTGAAACATGTAAGAGGGAAGTGTTGAGTGAAACATGTAAGAGGGAAGTGTTGAGTGAAACATGTAAGGGGGAAGTGTTGAGTGAAACATTTAAGAGGGAAGTGTTGAGTGAAACATGTAAGGGGGAAGTGTTGAGTGAAACATGTAAGAGGGTAGTGTTGAGTGAAACATGTAAGGGGGAAGTGTTGAGTGAAACATGTAAGGGGGAAGTGTTGAGTGAAACATGTAAGAGGGAAGTGTTGAGTGAAACATGTAAGAGGGATGTGTTGAGTGAAACATGTAAGAGGGAAGTGTTGAGTGAAACATGTAAGAGGGTAGTGTTGAGTGAAACATGTAAGAGGGAAGTGTTGAGTGAAACATGTAAGGGGGAAGTGTTGAGTGAAACATGTAAGGGGGAAGTGTTGAGTGAAACATGTAAGAGGGAAGTGTTGAGTGAAACATGTAAGGGGGAAGTGTTGAGTGAAACATGTAAGAGGGAAGTGTTGAGTGAAACATGTAAGAGGGTAGTGTTGAGTGAAACATGTAAGGGGGAAGTGTTGAGTGAAACATGTAAGAGGGATGTGTTGAGTGAAACATGTAAGGGGGAAGTGTTGAGTGAAACATGTAAGAGGGATGTGTTGAGTGAAACATGTAAGAGGGAAGTGTTGAGTGAAACATGTAAGAGGGATGTGTTGAGTGAAACATGTAAGGGGGAAGTGTTGAGTGAAACATGTAAGAGGGATGTGTTGAGTGAAACATGTAAGAGGGAAGTGTTGAGTGAAACATGTAAGGTAATGTTGAGTGAAACATATTACCCGTGAATGTAACAAGGAATCAAATCCCAATCGCCACCTAGCTCTCGTCTACAATGAAGCTCCCTATCTCAAATTATATACACTGATGACTCCTTGCACCAGTCCCATGGTGCAGCTTGATGTGCAGTTGTTGTGACAGCGGGAGATGGCTCCTATTTCTATGAGTGTGGAACGCGTATAACTGGGCCTCCACTCTTCAAACAGAATTGGTTGCCATAATCCTTGCGCTCGAAGGAGTACATGAATCAAAAGTCGACACGTTAATTGCAACTCCTGATGAGTCGCTTGAGTTAGCCTAAACATTTGTTCGTAAAGAGGAATTGATTGCCATCATGGACTGCCTTTGAGCACCCTGGGGGCAGCAATATTCCGGCAACTGCAATTAAATCTGACTTGAGGTAAAGTGAAATTCACACAAGTTCCTCTACCTGTCATCATTCTCTTATGCAGGAAGAACCGCACGTCTGTGGTCATTCTATATATATATATATATATATATATATATATATATATATATATATATATATATATATATATATATATATATATATATATATATATATATATATATATATATATATATATATATATATATATATATATATATATATATATATATATTATTAAATATGACCGAAAAAGTAAGATTAATAATTCTAACACGAATTTTCTCAATCTTTCGTACATTACGCTTCACTGTTGGAGGTAAATCAAAAATCACTTCTCCAAAATTCATTTTTATTTCTAGTCTGACGCGACACGGGCGCGTTTCGTAAAACTTATTACATTTTCAAAGACTTCACAAATACACAACTGATTAGAACTTGCGTATCTCTGATTTTATATCTACATTTGAGTGAGGTGGGAGGGGGTGATGTGGCATTAACACAAGACAGAACAAGAGGGGATATTAATAGGGTATTAAAAGTATCAACACAAGACAGAACAGAAACAATGGGTATTGAATAGAAGTGTTTGTAGAAAGCCTATTGGTCCATATTTCTTGATGCTTCTATATTGGAGCGGAGTCTTGAGGTGGGTAGAATATAGTTGTGCAATAATTGGCTGTTGATTGCTGGTGTTGACTTCATGATGTGTAGTGCCTCGCAAACGTCAAGCCGCCTGCTATCGCTGTATCTATCGATGATTTCTGTGTTGTTTACTAGGATTTCTCTGGCGATGGATTGGTAAGCTCCAAAAAACCCAGTATATAGGCAAGACAACAACATCTCTTTCTAGGCGTTTAACGATGCATAAGCAACAGGGCTCCATTAAGGAACATATAATCTCTTCCCATAACCAAACCATCGCCAGAGAAATCCTAGTAAACAACACAGAAATCATCGATAGATACAGCGATAGCAGGCGGCTTGACGTTTGCGAGGCACTACACATCATGAAGTCAACACCAGCAATCAACAGCCAATTATTGCACAACTATATTCTACCCACCTCAAGACTCCGCTCCAATATAGAAGCATCAAGAAATATGGACCAATAGGCTTTCTACAAACACTTCTATTCAATACCCATTGTTTCTGTTCTGTCTTGTGTTGATATTTTTAATACCCTATTAATATCCCCTCTTGTTCTGTCTTGTGTTAATGCCACATCACCCCTCCCACCTCACTCAAATGTAGATATAAAATCAGAGATACGTAAGTTCTAATCAGTTGTGTATTTGTGAAGTCTTTGAAAATGTAATAAGTTTTACGAAACGCGCCCGTGTCGCGTCAGACTAGAAATAAAAATGAATTTTGGAGAAGTGATTTTTGATTTACCTCCAACAGTGAAGCGTAATGTACGAAAGATTGAGAAAATTCGTGTTAGAATTATTAATCTTACTTTTTCGGTCATATTTAATAATATATGTCTACAGGAAAGACTGCTACCAAAATATACTAATATATATATATATATATATATATATATATATATATATATATATATATATATATATATATATATATATAAATGTGTGTGTATGTGTGTGCCTTCTTTCACCAACTTCGAGGTCATTCCGGAAACTCACGGTTACTGCGACGGCGTTGGAACCAAGGTATTGGCGTTTGCCTTTCCATTGAAGACTTTCGATGCCATGGAGAAGGGGGATCTGCTGCCTGGGTAACAGCTTCTCCTCCATATCAACCTACCTTGGCTTTGCGCTCTGGTGAGGTCACTCCAGACTGAGAACCAGAGCGCAACACCATAGTCTACTGAGACTGATATTGTTGTTGTTTAAGATTCAGCTACTCGGAACAAAAGTTCCAAGTAGCACGGGCTACTTGGAATAACTAGTTACACAAGACTGCTTCTTGCTTTGCTGAACAAACTATGGGGTTCAGTTCCTAAAAGTAATATATGCCTCTGAAAACTATTCCACCACCGCCCACGGGATGGGTATGTTGTTGTTGTTGTTGATTTAGGGGCGACGACGATCGTGGGATCGGATGCGCCCCGGCGGACCCGTGAAGGGTTAATCGCGAAGCCAGGAAAGGTGGAACGCCAAGCTTAATCGCGAAACGAGTGACGCCAATCACTAGAAATTAATATGCCATACTGCAAATAAACGCACAGTCAGGCAGATGATTGAGAAGTCCCAGGAGTCCCTCAGGGTGACAAGCACCGGCCCCGCTCCACACAGAGAACACCAGGTAGCAAAACCAAAACTCGGCCCCCAACTAAAACGCAAAAAGTCATCCAGTGTCCTCCGGCAGAGCAGAAGCCGGCCGCCCACCACGGCTGAGAGCACACCAGGAGCCCACCAAAACCCACCAACCCCCGGCACCTCTCGGCCAAGCCGGCCCCCGAACACCGTCACCCCGCCGGGAGAACCAGCCAGAACACGCCAAAAAATAAAAATCTATCAACAATCCCGTGACCCAAGACGATATGTGCGCCAGGCGTCGTACAAGCGGACCGTTGAAGAGGGAAGCCAAAAGGCAGTAGCAAAGCCAAAACGCGAAAACAGGACGTGATCCGGCGGCTCCCAGGCGGAGGAGGTGTTCAGACGTCCGCTCGGCGTCAAGGTTGAACCAGGAGTCCCACGGGATGGGTATGAGGTGCATAATAAATGAGTAACTTCATGAGCGTCGTGCAAATTAATTTTCTGAAAATATCTGGATTGAGAGAAAACGTAGGGAAGAAGCCTGTAAATATTTCCAGCGGTAACTGAAGTATTCCGTAGGACTACGCAAAGAATCTTTTATATTTAATAATCAAATGTGTCGGAGGACAGGTAGGCAGTTTATACATATAGTACATATTAGGTTTATATCGCAGTCATCCAAGGGTTGAATTATTGATCTCGGTGGAGGGGGGGGGGGTCAGAACTGGTCACTCACCGGGCTCTCACACTACCGGGGTGACGGACTTCTGGTTCAACCTTGACGCCGAGCGGACGTCTGGACGCCTCCTCCGCCTAGGAGCCGCCGATCACGTTTGGTTTACGATTTTGGATTTGCTACTGCCGTTTGGCATCCCTATTCAAGGGTCCGGTTGTACGACGTCTGGCGCACATATCGCCTTGTTTCAAAGGATTGTTGATAGACTTTTTTTGGGGGGGGGGGGGGGGGGGGGGGGGGGGGGCCTTTCTGGCTGGTTCTTCAGGCGGGGTGACGGTGTCCGGCGCCGGCTTGGCCGAGAGGTCCCCGGAGTTGGTGGGTCTTGGTGGGCTCCTGGTGTGCCCTCAGTCGTGGTGGGCGGCCGGCTTCTGCTCTGCCGGGGGGCACTGGGTGACTTTTGCGTTTTAGTTGGGGGCCGAGTTTTGGTTTTGCTACCCTGTGTTCACTGTGTGGGGCGGGGCCGGTGCTTGTAAACCCTAAGGGACTCCTGGGGCTCCCAGTGTTCACTGTGTGGGGCGGGGCCGGTGCTTGTAAACCCTAAGGGACTCCTGGTGCTCCCCAGTGTTCACTGTGTGGGGCGGGGCCGGTGCTTGTAAACCCTAAGGGACTCCTGGGGCTCCCAGTGTTCACTGTGTGGGGCGGGGCCGGTGCTTGTAAACCCTAAGGGACTCCTGGTGCTCCCCAGTGTTCACTGTGTGGGGCGGGGCCGGTGCTTGTAAACCCTAAGGGACTCCTGGGGCTCCCAGTGTTCACTGTGTGGGGCGGGGCCGGTGCTTGTAAACCCTAAGGGACTCCTGGGGCTCCCCAGTGTTCACTGTGTGGGGCGGGGCCGGTGCTTGTAAACCCTAAGGGACTCCTGGGGCTCCCAGTGTTCACTGTGTGGGGCGGGGCCGGTGCTTGTAAACCCTAAGGGACTCCTGGGGCTCCCCAGTGTTCACTGTGTGGGGCGGGGCCGGTGCTTGTAAACCCTAAGGGACTCCTGGGGCTCCCCAGTCATCTGCCTGTCTGCGTTCCTTTGCCACATGACATATTAGTTTCCAGTGATTGGCGTCACTTGTTTTGCGATTCTGCTTGGTGATTCAACCTTTCCGGACTTCGCGATTAACCTATCACGGGAACGCCGGAGGCGCATCCGATCCCACGATCGTCGTCGCCCCTAAATCAACGACAACAATAACAACAACTATCGGGGTGACCTCATAATTCTCAGGTCACGCACTGGTACCTCACAATAAATAGAGGTCACCCACCGGTGCACCATAATAAGGGTGTCAACCTTTCAAAGTTTTCCAACAATTCTCACTGGCAAGATGAGGCAGGGATGTGTGGGGTTGTAACTGTTGATCTCTTGGTCTGACGATCTGGAACCAGATTCACGAAGCAGTTACGCAAGCACTTACGAACCTGTCCATCTTTTCTCAATCTTTGGCGGCTTTGTTTACAATTATTAAACAGTTCATGAGCTCTGAAACACCAGGAGGCTGTTTATAACAATAACAACAGTTGATTGGCACGTTTTCATGCTTGTAAGCTGTTTAATAAATGTAACCAAAGCCGTCAAAGATTGAGGAAAGATGTACACGTTCGTAAGTGCTTGCGTAAGTTCTTTCGTGAATCTTGCCCCTGGTCGCCTAAGACAGGCGAACGAGTACCAGCTGCGTCTGGGTACGATTGCAAGGGTAAACAACCTTGCAGGGTTTCTTACTCGGGGTGGGGGGGGGTGTCGTGTACCTGCTGGTGTGGGAAATTACTTACACTCAGGATGAGGGACGCTGCCCAATATACTCCATCTTCCCGGCAAAATTAATCACCTACGCCAAGCTGTACAGTATACACACATCAAAACTTTTCCCCCATTTAATTTTCCGTGTTTCAGGCGCTGTGATAAACGTCCCGGGCTCTGTGACGAGCGTCTCAGGCGCTGTGACTGGCATCCCAGGCGCTGTGACGGGCGTCCCAGGCGCTGTGACTGGCATCCCAGGCGCTGTGATGGGCGTCTCAGGCGCTTTGACGGGTGTCCCAGGTGTTGTGACGGGCGTCCCAGGCGCTGTGACGGACGTCCCAGGGGCTGTTACGGACGTCCCAGGGGCTGTTACGGACGTCCCAGGGGCTGTTACGGACGTCCCAGGGGCTCTGACGGGCGTCAGAGCCCCAGAAGAATGCCTGTGCCCAGAAGGGAGCAGCTCGGACGCCTCGTGCAGCTGCCCACCGCGGCTGAAGACAGACCAGGTGAGTGCAGGTGGCCCGGCTGCCCTCCACCACCCCCACATCTGCCGTCCGGAGCAACACAAACACTCAAACATTAGGCTCAACCCTGGAGCCTAATTTATTACATTTCATTACAATAGTCAAGATATACTTCCCTATATCCATTACTCAAGTTGGCCTTCTCTCCCAAAGTTGATCTTCCATCCCCAACTTGGCCTTAAGGTTAGGAAAGGAATTGGGAAGCAATTTTGGGAAGGGGTTATGGAAGACGTCAGGAAAAGGGGTTGGAGAGAGGAGATGGGGAAGTGGAAAAGGTTGGGGAAGGGGAAAGGGTTCAGAAAGGCGTCGAGAAGGATGGAGTTGAAGGGATATTATCCCAAACAAGGCGAGGCAACACAGTGGGTGGGGCCCACACCCACAACACAGTGGGTGGGGCCCCCCACCCACAACACAGTGGGTGGAGCCCACACCCACAACACAGTGGGTGGGGCCCACACCCACAACACAGTGGGTGGGGCCCACACCCACAACACAGTGGGTGGAGCCCACACCCACAACACAGTGGGTGGGGCCCACACCCACAACACAGTGGGTGGGGCCCACACCCACAACACAGTGGGTGGGGCCCACACCCACAACACAGTGGGTGGGGCCCACACCCACAACACAGTGGGTGGAGCCCACACCCACAACACAGTGGGTGGGGCCCACACCCACAACACAGTGGGTGGGGCCCACACCCACAACACAGTGGGTGGAGCCCACACCCACAACACAGTGGGTGGAGCCCACACCCACAACACAGTGGGTGGGGCCCACACCCACAACACAGTGGGTGGGGTCCACACCCACAACACAGTGGGTGGGGCCCACACCCACAACACAGTGGGTGGGGCCCACACCCACAACACAGTGGGTGGGGCCCACACCCACAACACAGTGGGTGGGGCCCACACCCACAACACAGTGGGTGGAGCCCACACCCACAACACAGTGGGTGGGGCCCACACCCACAACACAGTGGGTGGGGCCCACACCCACAACACAGTGGGTGGAGCCCACACCCACAACACAGTGGGTGGGGCCCACACCCACAACACAGTGGGTGGGGCCCACACCCACAACACAGTGGGTGGGGCCCACACCCACAACACAGTGGGTGGAGCCCACACCCACAACACAGTGGGTGGAGCCCACACCCACAACACAGTGGGTGGGGCCCACACCCACAACACAGTGGGTGGGGTCCACACCCACAACACAGTGGGTGGGGCCCACACCCACAACACAGTGGGTGGGGCCCACACCCACAACACAGTGGGTGGGGCCCACACCCACAACACAGTGGGTGGAGCCCACACCCACAACACAGTGGGTGGGGCCCACACCCACAACACAGGGGGTGGGGCCCACACCCACAACACAGTGGGTGGAGCCCACACCCACAACACAGTGGGTGGGGCCCACACCCACAACACAGTGGGTGGGGCCCACACCCACAACACAGTGGGTGGAGCCCACACCCACAACACAGTGGGTGGGGCCCACACCCACAACACAGTGGGTGGGGCCCACACCCAGTACGGAAGTTCTGTTTTGGTACAAATAGTTCGGGATTGACGCTCATTTGACCCACAGTTCGGAAAATTTTGGAACAAATTCTGGCAAGAGACTTAAGGTCAGAAGAGTCTCGTCTGCACGTCAAACATCACGTATATGTGGTGCTGTTGGTTCAAAATGTTGGGACGTGCAGTCAATATACCATATGCCTTCACCTCCATATACCATATACGGTCCCCGTGGCGCAGTGGCAAGACACGCTCCCGGCGCTTCGCGAGCGCTTTGGCCTGGGTTCATATCCTGGCCGGGGAGGATTGACTGGACGCCAATCCTTAACTGTAGCCTCTGTTCACTCAGCAGTGAATGGGTACCTGATTGTTAAATGATTTGGGGGGGGGGTCGTATTCCGGGGAAAATTAGGATTAAGGACTTGCCCGAAACGGAATGGAGGTGAGGACAAGCCTGGGGCCAGATTCACGAAAGCACTTACGCAAGCACTTATGAACCTGTACATCTTTTCTCAATCTTTGGCGGCTTTGTTTCCAATTGTTAAACAGTTAATGAGCTCGGAAGCACCAGGAGGCTGTTTATAACAATAACAACAGTTGAATGGGAAGTTTTCATGCTTGTAAAGAGTTAAATAAATGTAACCAAAGCCGTCAAAGATTGAGGAAAGATGTACACGTTCGTAAGTGCTTGCGTAAGTGCTTGCGTGAATCTGGCCCCAGGCCGTTGGGGCTTCACACTCACTGTTTTGTGTGTAACCTGTTATGCTTCTCATGTCATAATGTTTCTGAAACACAGAGGTTCTTAACCGGTTGTATCCGTACCTCCTCGGGGCCATAGGAACAAAATAATGGGAATATGGTACTCGGTTTCTGAATAATTAAAAAAAAATTAGACTAGAATTAACAATCATTGTTATCAACAGTTTGAGACAATTCAACGTTTTAACTGGAAAAAATCTCACTAGCTGAAGCTAGCTTACCTAGTTCTCATTTGCCCTTTTTCAATAAATAAGTATGATAATATTCCTATGACTTTCTTTCACGTGGTGTGCTCCGAGCTATCCAACTGTAAAGACAAAGAGCAAAAGCAAGCAACTGACATGTCTGAAGTCACACTTGTACCGAGCACGACTCGTGGCGAGGATGACAAGACAGTCAATATTGACCACGTGCATAGGTGATATACTAAACATAATAGTAAAAGATTCATAGAAAACACCGACCTTACCTAACCTTGTTAGTATCTTAAGATAAGCATCTTAATGCTTCGTAATTACAATTATTACTTAACATACCGGGGTGCAAGGCCACATATTGGCTCATAACACTGCAGTTTGTTATTGCACTTCGCTAAACACTCTGTAGCTAAAATATGAACCGTTAACTATGGAAACATTTTCAGACACAAGACTGACCTCTCTAATATATGAGCCTTCACCACGAGCCTTATCTCAACAATTCTGGAAGAACAAAGGCACACAGGAGATATGATTACAACATATCGGATACTCAGAAAGGAGGAGAGATAAATAATTAGTTAATGAATAAATATAAGGAACACAAAGTGGAAGCTGAACACGTGAATAAGTCGAAGAGATGTGAGTAAGACCATATATTGTGAGATAAACACCAGGCACGAGTTTACATGTTAATATTATATGTTCCTGAGTTCGGGGATGCCTCGCACTGGTTAAGAGGCGGGTCCAGGAGCTGAACCTCATATATAAAATCACAAACTCGTCGGAGAGCTTTACGGCTGAGTGGAAAGCGTTCTGGGGTCGTAGACCTAAGGGCCCGAGTTCGATCCCTGGCGAAGGCAGAAACAAATGGGCAGAGTTTCTTTCACCCTGATGCTCTGTTCACCTAGCAGTAAATAGGTACCTGGGAATTAGACAGCTGCTACGAGCTGCTTCCTGGGAATGTGTATATGCGTTAGAAATATATATAGTAGACATAATAGAGGAAAAATGAATTGGTTAGAAAGGCTGAGTCCAAGAACTAATTGCTCGATTCTGCAGATACAAATAGTAAATACACACACATTATATGTGACCCTGCACAGTTATGTGTTCATACACACAGGTATATGTGCACATACATAGTTAAAGGTTTCATATACACATGATTATGTGTATGTGAGATTCTACTCCATCTGACTATGGGGAATTTACTGTTAAATACCTAAGCCCCCACGTTTATAAGCCAAATGAGAGAGAGACATTACTTCCTGGTTGACTTCAACCACGTACAGGCCCCATGCAGGGAAACCTGACGTGATATTAGCAATCCGGAAGGTGAGAGGCGTGAGCAAACGCTAAAGGTTCAGTACTACAGATGGAGGTGAAGACTAGAGCGGTTTTCACTTCCACAGTGCAATACAAGACCTTTTTCTCACTGGGTCGTTCAGCGAATCTAGCAGGTAGCGGATGGGTCCTCACACCAATACTTATATAATGGTGATTGGGGTTAGGAGCTGGAACCTGTGCCAACTTAAGTTACTGATTAAGTAGCAAGAGGAATAATGGTGGCAGTACTGCAGAATCAGGAATGATATCAAAGGCAAGTGTATTTAGCCAAAATAGATTTATTAAACAAACTTACGTTCTAATACACAGCCACACAATTTACGTTAATTCTAGAGTGCCACTTGAAATCCGTCAAACACCACTTAAGTTGGTGGCTGCTTTTTGGCTGGGCTGGTTGTAGTCAGCTGTTATTTTTACATTCTCTTCCCTGTGGTTCAGCTGTTGCTCCTGAGGCTTCCTGATGGCAGGGTTGATCTCTATAGCTCCATGATGGCTAACTCAGCACTGTTTCTGGACCACTTAACAGTAGGCCTCCTGACCCACCACCTGACAGGTGTATAGAGACACAAGGCCTCCACCCACTAGACAGCTCATCAACAACAGTTAACTAACCTGAAACACTGTGCACATTCTTGGCAAATATCAAAACACTTCACCAACACAATACATCAACATATGTAAATGTGTACACAACAATGTCACCAAGACAATCACCTCGATAACGACACTACAGGTTATCGACACCTTAGCTTTAGACACTACTTTAGCAAATGTCACTAAGACATATAACAACAACAACAATTGATTTAACAATCAATGTCACCAAGACATTCAATTACAAAGAGTCAAATTAATTACTCAATTAATTTACCTTAATTAACCACAATTATGGTAATTAGTCACTTAAGACAGTCAACAAATTAATTAATCAATCGACCACGTTAAAGACACACTGTCACCCCGACAGTTGGAAATCAAAAAGTTACGCTAATTACACTGTCACAGACAATTAACACTCAATTACGTTAATTTATTGTTTATCACATAGACGAAACAATCAATTAACAACTTAACTCACTGTCAAACCGACAGATATCAATCAATGAAGATACTGACTTCACGAATTACGTTCATAAATCACTAACACGGGTATCACTGAGACAACCCAACACCACTCAATGATAAATTCGCGCAAGTGAGAATTAATGTCAATATTAGCGTGCCACACAGACAACTGCTAATACAGCACTTAATGCCACAGAGTTGGTGGAAATTTGCCGACCTGGCCACCAGGGGGCTCCGGCGTGTCTACCTAACCTGCCAATTGTTGTCTGGAGTTGCGTGAGGGAGGGTGCAGTTTGGCGTGTCGGCGCCATGGGGAGTTTTCAGGACGTGCATCATACCTTGCTCTTGAGGTTGTGTTGTTGTACGGGCGAGGTGTACGGGCTCCAGCTCCTGACGACCCACTAGTGCTAGTGAAGTTTAACTCCGCGGCGGTGTATGAGGAGTTCGTCGCCCGCTGTGATGGACGAACGTTGACCCTCCCTGGGAACGGCGGTACGGTCGCCATTTCCGACCGCTGCTGCTCTGTTACCTATGTGGCATTTCATAGTGTGCCCTACGAGTTTTCGGAGGCCCTGCTGTGGAGATACTTTGGCCACTATGGTACGGTGGTCTCCCTCTGTATGAACTCCGTCTCTTCCGGCAGGTGGCGTGGGGTCTCCTTTGGTGCACGAACTCTCGCCTTGAGACGTAAGTCCCCGGTTCCCTTCAGTTACCTTGCTGGCTCTGCGGGCATTCTGTGCAGGGCAGCCACGCTCCTAGTGTCGTTGTGGCCTTGAGAAGCACCTGGCGGCCGCTTGCACTGGGGTCGCGGCTGCACCTGTTAATCTGTTCCGGGAAGAGGATTTTCCACCGTTGGTGGCGAAAGACTTGACGCCTCGTGATGGAGTGGGTGGGGAGGTTCCCCTGCCGCCTGCTGGCCCGGCGTGTGGATGGTGGTGTACAAGACGAGGTGGTGGTGTGTGCGGCTCCACCCCCGCAGTCTGTCTCTTCGCTTCCAACGGCTTCTGCACCTGTTTCCGTCTCTGCACCTCTGTCGTCTTAGACGTCCCTGCAGGCTCCCCCTCACCTGTGTTGATCCCTCCCCCTCCCCCGGCCTCGCCTGTTCTTTCTCCTGTCTCCTCTGTGGGTGGCGGTCTGTCCCCCATGTCGTTGAGGCTGACATTCTGCGGGGTCGTGCTCCCCCGGTTGTGGAGCGGCCTGCTGCTGGCTGTTCTCGGGTGCCTCCTGCACGGGGTGACAGCTCCGATGACCATCGGCCTGTCACCAAGCGTTCACGTACGGATACGGGTACTTTGCCGCCTCGTACGTGGGCAGAGGAATGTGAGGCTGCGGCATGTGTTCATATTTCTTCTGCGAGCTGTTCCTCTGTGGAGTGCGAGGATGGTGCCTCTGGTGCTGGTGTGGTTCAGGTGGATGGTGTGGGCCCTAGTGTGGCTCCTGCTGTAGGGGTGGGGGCCGGTGTGGGGCCTGTTGCTCTTGATTCGGGTGCGTCGCCCGCATTGAATGGTTCCTGTTCCTCGTGGGGGGTGGTTCCCCCTTGCGAGGTTGAGGGTGAGCATGGCGACCTGGTGGTGGTGCCGAAGAAAGCTGCTCGCTCTGAGGGTTCCGTGCCCCCTCCCCACCCCTCACGTCTCCGGCCATTTCTTCTGTGTCTCCTGCTTTGTCGGAGGTGGTGTTGCCACCTCCGCCCGCTGTCCGGTATCTCCTGCTTCCACGGCGGTGGTGTTCCTGCCTCACCTGACTAGTTCTTCGTCTTCGGTGACCTCTGGTTTGGGGCGTGTGTTTCCGCCGGGTTTGGTGGTTCCTGAGTATATGACGTGCCCGCGGCGTCGTGAAGGTTGTTCCCCTACCGATCAGGGGTAGGCTTATAAGCAGATATGGGAGGCTTAGTATCCATCGTGGAAATTCCCCTGAGAAATATCCTCCTAAATGATTACTGTGTTGTGTTGCTTGCATATGGGTGCGTGGTTGTGGGGTGGGATTGCATGTGTGTGTCTGGGTGGGGCGGGTTTTGTTTTCCGGTTCCTGCGTGTTCCGGTTTTTTGTTTGTGGGTTTGCGTATGTGTCTGTGGGTCCGTGTCTTTCTGTATCTGTTCTGTATGGTTTTATACTTCCGGCTGTGTGACTTGTGCGTGGCTGGTTGTACTGTTGTGCTGCTGTGTGTGTGTGTGTGTGTGTGTGTGTGTGTGTGTGTGTGTGTGTGTGTGTGTGTGTGTGTGTGTGTGTGTGTGTGTGTGTGTGTGTGTGTGTGTGTGTGTGTGTGTTTTTTGGTGTGGTGAGTTTATATTATGTACTTGTGTTTTTACGGCCTTCTGGTCGTTTGCATGTGTCTTTTTGTACTACTTTGTTTGTCTTTGTACTTAAGGTTCCCTGTGTAGTTCTGTTTTCTGTTATTAATGTTTTGTTTCTTGTACTGTTCCTGTTTTTGTTTTGGATCTGTATTTTGTGCCCGTGTATGGGTGTATTGTATGCTTTGTATCATGTGTGTTTCACTTTTGCTTCTTCTTGTGTTTAGGTTCTTTAATGTTGTGTTACTTTATTCTGCATGTCCTCTATGTACTCATGTTTTTATTTTTCTGTGATTTTCTCTTTGTACATTGTGGTTTCTTTTATATATAAAAAAACAATTTTAAAAAAACAATTTCTTTTATATAAAAAACAATTTTCAGTGGCACTTAGTGCCACTGAGACAACCATATCTCTTCTCAATACCTGTAACCAGATGCTACACACAACTCATTGGGTTTATATTACTTGTACACGCACACGCACACGCGCGCGCACGTACGTACGTACGTTACCTGTCAATCATTAATGACAGGTCAAGGAAGATTAAGAGTTGTCAAAGCAGACAGATTTAACACCTCCACAATACCTTTGGACTCTGACACAAGAGATCTCGTTGCGAGACTAAATGATAATTCGAGATTGGGCGGTTTACTTTACCACCAAACAATGTGTTCACTCTTAACAATATAATAAATATCCCGGAAGTTTGTACTTACAGTTTTCACACCAGTCACGCCCTTACACACCAGTCACGCCCTTACACACCAGTCACGCCCTTACACACCAGTCACGCCCTTACACACCAGTCACGCCCTTACACACCAGTCACGCCCTTACACACCAGTCACGCCCTTACACACCAGTCACGCCCTTACACACCAGTCACGCCCTTACACACAGCTGCTGATGCTCGACGTGGCGGATAGACTGAAAAATTAAAGCGAGGGGGACCTGGGACCAGATTTACGAAGAAGTTGCGCAAGCACTTATGAACCTACACCTTTTCTCAATCTTTGGCGGCTTTATTTACAATTATTAAACAGTGAGCTCCGAAGCACCAGGAGGCTGTTTATAACAATAACAGTTGATTGGGATGTTTTCATGATTGTAAACTGTTTAATAAATGTAATCAAAGCCGTCAAAAAATGAGGTAAGATGTACACGCTCGTAAGTACTTGCGTTACTGCTTTGTGAATCTGGGTCCTGGCATTGAATCCTTCAATGCAAGATAAAGTTCAAACCTCCGGCTATCAGATGATCGATGTTAAATCCAGGTGTTAGGGGGTTGTAATACGCATGGCTGATCAATCACACACACGATCTTCAGAGCCCCAGCGCAAGTTGCAACAATCTCTATTTACTGAGGTATAACGACACCCCCACACTTCTCAACACGGTGGTGGGGCGTTTACCACAGTCACCTTGCCCGAAACGCTTTGCGTAATAGTGGCTTTAGGCATTGTATGTACTAGCTCTATCTATAAACCCATCAACTTTTGTATCTCACCTTGTATGTATGTATTTTACCTGAATAAATATTCGTATTTGTAAACACGCCGCCCACTCTTCCCGTCTTCTGGTGGTGGCGCGCGCAGCTCATGAACACTCACACAACACACTTTTTTGGCTTGGGGGGTGGGGGGGGGGACTTCTAACCACACCGGGGGAGACACAGTGAAGACAGAACGGAAGTAGAGGCGGAGCCCAAGAACCGTGGCTCGTCTCCCCACAAATACAACTAGAGCGAGTACATTTTGATCTCTTTAATAATTGTTATCTCTTACTTTACTATTTTCAGCCAATTGTGATCACTCTGACCAACCTGAGCGGCACGATCACGGCGCCAGAGGACCCCAGCGGGGACCACTACTACTGCACCAACTGCAGGGTCCTCTGGGTCCTCGACACGGGGGCCCCCAGCAACACCATCACGCTCACCATCCAGGACCTGTTCCTGGGGTACCCGGACGTCACCATACCAGACGCTGACCTCAACAACTACACCACCGGTGACTTTCTGCTCGTCGGTGCAGGTTGGTGACTGGCGGGCCCTCAGTGGGGACTGTAATATGGTGACTCCTCAGTGGTGACTGTAATATGGTGACTCCTCAGTGGTGACTGTAATATGGTGACTCCTCAGTGGTGACTGTAATATGGTGACTCCTCAGTGGTGACTGTAATATGGTGACTCCTCAGTGGTGACTGTAATATGGTGACTCCTCAGTGGTGACTGTAATATGGTGACTCCTCAGTGGTGACTGTAATATGATGACTCCTCAGTGGTGACTGTAATATGGTGACTCCTCAGTGGTGACTGTAATATGGTGACTCCTCAGTGGTGACTGTAATATGGTGACTCCTCAGTGGTGACTGTAATATGGTGACTCCTCAGTGGTGACTGTAATATGGTGACTCCTCAGTGGTGACTGTAATATGGTGACTCCTCAGTGGTGACTGTAATATGGTGACTCCTCAGTGGTGACTGTAATATGGTGACTCCTCAGTGGTGACTGTAATATAGTGACTCCTCAGTGGTGACTGTAATATGGTGACTCCTCAGTGGTGACTGTAATATAGTGATTCCTCAGTGGTGACTGTAATATAGTGACTCCTCAGTGGTGACTGTAATATGGTGACTCCTCAGTGGTGACTGTAATATGGTGACTGTAATATAGTGACTCCTCAGTGGTGACTGTAATATGGTGACTCCTCAGTGGTGACTGTAATATAGTGACTCCTCAGTGGTGACTGTAATATAGTGACTCCTCAGTGGTGACTGTAATATAGTGACTCCTCAGTGGTAACTGTAATATAGTGACTCCTCAGTGGTGACTGTAATATGGTGACTCCTCAGTGGTGACTGTAATATGGTGACTCCTCAGTGGTGACTGTAATATAGTGACTCCTCAGTGGTGACTGTAATATGATGACTCCTCAGTGGTGACTGTAATATGATGACTCCTCAGTGGTGACTGTAATATGATGACTCCTCAGTGGTGACTGTAATATGGTGACTCCTCAGTGGTGACTGTAATATGGTGACTCCTCAGTGGTGACTGTAATATGGTGACTCCTCAGTGGTGACTGTAATATGGTGACTCCTCAGTGGTGACTGTAATATGGTGACTCCTCAGTGGTGACTGTAATATGGTGACTCCTCAGTGGTGACTGTAATATGGTGACTCCTCAGTGGTGACTGTAATATGGTGACTCCTCAGTGGTGACTGTAATATGGTGACTCCTCAGTGGTGACTGTAATATGGTGACTCCTCAGTGGTGACTGTAATATGGTGACTCCTCAGTGGTGACTGTAATATAGTGACTCCTCAGTGGTGACTGTAATATGGTGACTCCTCAGTGGTGACTGTAATATGGTGACTCCTCAGTGGTGACTGTAATATAGTGACTCCTCAGTGGTGACTGTAATATAGTGACTCCTCAGTGGTGACTGTAATATGGTGACTCCTCAGTGGGGACTGTAATATGGTGACTCCTCAGTGGGGACTGTAATATGGTGACTCCTCAGTGGTGACTGTAATATAGTGACTCCTCAGTGGTGACAAATATGGTGACTCGGGGGGAAAATCACTCACAAAGGCAGTCAGGGCGGCAGTGGAGTATTTATGCCTCTACTGAACTGGATTAATATTGCAACAATTGCAGCTGACTTTGGGATGTATTTCATGTTCTTCAGGTTTTAGTTGAACTTATTTTAAGTTTCTACGCTTATTTTTGAGAGTCCTTTTGTGATCTGCGGCTTAACAGAACAAAAGTTTTTTTTTTTAGGGTGGGGGGGGGGGGGGGATATTTATCTTATGGTTGAGAAGATGATAGTGAGGATATATGTGCCCTGGATCATATATAACAATGTGTTTGTGTTGACCAGACCACACATTAGAAATTGAAGGGACGACGACGTTTCGGTCCGTCCTGGACCATTCTCAAGTCGATTGTCCACAGTCACCTTGAGAGAGACAATCGACTTGAGAATGGTCCAGGACGGACCGAAACATCGTCGTCCCTTCAATTTCTAGTGTGTGGTCTGGTCAACATACTTCAGCCACGTTATTGTGACTCATCGCCTGCGAATGTGTTTGTGGATAATACAAATGTTATTGTTTCTGGATCATTTATTAGAATCTGATCCACAAACATAAATATTCTTATGTATGATCCACCCTGGAAACACAAACCGAAACTCTCTATTTTCCGCTTGTTACAACTTGTAATAAAGTTGTTACATCTTGACTTAACGTGTTTATGACGTATTAGAACGTCGTTACAACTTGCTATATTGGTTGTTATAACTGGTTAGGAGGTGTTAAAACTTGTTCGAACGTTGTATCAACGTCGTTGTTTCGGTGTGTTTGGCGGGCAGAACCATATACACTCCTTCACTCCCTAAGAACACGCTCCGTCTCCCTTCATCATGTAGTCCTTGTACCGTGTTGATTTCCCCCCGAGATTCCTTCTGCGTTCTGTCTCCTCCAGGAATTCTCAGACAGTCTGGTATTCCCCTCTTCTGTATGCTAGCCTTACTCTGCCCCCATAGCTACATCTTTATTTGGTCTTCATTGTCACTATTGATTCAAAGACTAAAACACAGTGGTCATTGGCTCCTAATGGCATGTCATCACCAATGTTTTCAATGTTCATCTCATTCTGTGTGAAGAACAGGTCTAGTCTAGCTGGTTGATCACCACCCAATCTCCTTGTTTCCGTTTCCTCCTTAACATATTGCATTAGGACGTTCCTGTCTATTACTTTTACCAGCTTTGCTCTCCATGTCTCATCTCCTCGTCTTGGGTCCATTGTTTCTCAGTCCATTTGTGTCTCAGTTGATTGATGTCTCCCATTACTAGCAGCTTAGCTTCCAGTCTAAGGGTTCTCGGCCACTCCTTGTAGAATATTTCTTGCATGTTCTGTTCTTAATTTTGTATTCTTGCCTCGGTCTTCTGTATTCTCTAGAAGGCTATAGATTACAACCCCAACCAATTCCTCACCGTGCATTGAAATGATTCCGACAATGCAGTCCCTGTAGTGGTTTGCCATCTCTAAAGACCTCCGTTTAAAAACCGTTTTTTTTTTTTTTTTTTTTACCAGCAGTGCCACATGACCTCTTCCGATGTCTTTGACATTTCATCATCTGATATTCGCCTGGTAATATTAGTTTGGACTCTACTATTGCTATTACATCACGGTCTGCTTCTTCAGTCCCTTCTTTGAGTTCATCTGCTTGGTCAGTCCATCAGCATTGGTGTACCAGATCTTAAATCTTCATTGTTGTTCTGTCTTCTGAATGATTAGTGTTCAGTCTAGATATGGGGTTTAGGTAAGATTCTGAGAGGATTTTGGGATGTGGAAGAGAGTAAGGGAGATTGGAGGTCTGAGGCATTGGGTTAGGGTGTGATGGAGTTGGATTTTTTATTTTCTGCCTAAAATTTTATGCGTTAGTGGCATTGCAGAATGTAAAAATAAAAAATTTATGGAATCTCAACAATCCATTGTATCTACTTGTGAAAATAATAATAATAATAATATTATTATTATTATTATTATTATTATTATTATTATTATTATTATTATTATTATTATTATTATTATAATTGAGGCTTAGGGTCTGGGGATGGAGTTGGCAGAAAGTTGTGATTGAGTTCCAAGAGGAAATGTGGGAGGAAGTATGGGAGAAGATTGATGATCAGTGAGTGGCAATTGGTGGTTGGTGGATTTCGATTGATTACAAAGGGGGTATTGTGCTACTGGGATGGAAGGATGCTGGATTTCTTAAATGTTTGGTCTCTGGAAGGATCTGGAGGTGTGGTCAGGTGTCGGTATTTTGTTGTCAGCCATGGGAGCCAGTTCATTCTACTTAGGACTCTAGGTTTGTTTGTGTATTGACCTAGTTGTGCTTGCGGGGATTGAGCTCTGCTCTTTCGGCCCGCCTCTCAACAGTCAATCAATTGTTACTAACTACTAACTTACTAATTTTCACACACACACACACACACACACACACACACACACACACACACACACACACACACACACACACACACACACACACCACACACACACACACACAGAGAGCAAGCAACCAGTAGCAGCTGTCTCACTCCCAGGTACCTATTTACTGCTAGGTAACAGGGCATCAGAGTGAAGGAAACTGCCCATCTGTTATTGCTACTTGTGTAAAGGAGGAATGTATATGTTTATCTCTTAGAATGTTTGGTAATATGTTTATTGTTTGTGATGTGTGTCTATGTATGTATTAACACGATGTACTGAACGGGGTGAGAATAGCTTGAGCTACCTCATCCCTTTGTGTGTATTTTACCTCAATAAACTTATTTCAATTTTAATTTCAATCTGTTATTGCCGGTGGCCGAGATCGAACCCGGACCCTGGAATGACGAATCCCAAGCGCTGTCCATTTAGCCACGGGCCCTGTTATGGGGGCAAGTAGTTGCTCTGTGAAGGGCCAACAACTAAGGTCGAGGAGTTACTAAAATAGTGGGAGTTAGGTTAGGCCCACAAGGGGTGCGACCGCTCAGTCTCGAGACACAGCAGAGAAGAAGCAAAGCAGTCCTCGTTCCCCATGATTGCTGCCTGAAAGATTCTCAACTGATCGTACAGTAACAATCATCACAAGTCTTCCCAGGCACTCCTTTACTTGTTCTTTTAACAATTCTAAGAATGGGTAACGTCTTGCTCTATATTATATTAATATTCAATTAACACAATCTGCCCACTCTGTGAGCAACAGGATTATTTCCACGTCTGGCAGGGAAGACAGTTCCCATCAAATAATACTTGTCCTTAAAAGGTCTGTAGTCTAAAGGTGATTAACCTTACTCCAAAAATACAAAAATACAACAAATTACTTTACCAACTCTATCTTACGTTAACCCCTTGAATCCACATAGGCAGGAGACAAGAATTACAACCAGCAACCTAGTGGTAAAGACTACTTTTCTGAAGGAACAGCACACTGGTATCACTGTAAATAATGGTACACGTGGTTGGTCACCTTCAC